TGACCGACCGACCAACCAACTGACTGACGGTCAACTATCAAGGTGGCCAAGGCGACGGTGCGACCAGAGGAGCAACTCACATCTTACAGCCTGACTGTGCAACTCGCCCTTTCAGGCATGACCACGCCAGAACACACCATGATGCCATATTGTTCGCTAAGCAGCGATTTGTTTCCCGTCGCGCGGCTGATTTTACTGAATCAGTGTGAGGTAAACTCCTTGCTGAAGGGCATTCGTCGTTACGACAACGCTCGTACAGAGCGAGGGTCGAAAACTTCAGGTCATATTTAAATTTTGGTTTTTATTTTAAAGTCAGTTCAAGATGTGTTTTCTGATGTTTCAGACCTGGTGACCGAAACAGTCTTTCAGCAAAGGTCGGCCATAGCGTGTCTTGCTGTTTTCGTTGCGTCGTTCCGGCTGCTTAGAGCTGCACGCAGGATTTTCGACAATAGCTAACCGCTAAGAAAGGCATTTTCTAGACCAAAACCTCGGTTATATTTTGGTTTGCTGGCAAAGGCTGTTTCGTACACCGCTACTTGGCATATCACTTTTCCGGATTCGCACCGCTTCCTTAAGTGGGTGATCGTATGGGCCCTTTTCGGCCAGTTGCTTGTGGTTCCATGATATTATGGCATGTGTAGAACAGGTAGACTGAACCGAATCGCTGTGTTCGCAGCGACAGAAACAGGTTCCAACTTCGACATCACGAAAACGCAGTTTTTGCTACTAAAGTCATAACGGGCGTTTCTATTTACATATGCCTACGGACGAAGTATATCGGTTGGTGTTTCTGTTGTTTCCAAGACGGTGAATCGGTTTTGAGTGTTGTACGCTGTTCAGATCGTTTAGTGACACGGAGTTGTGGTCTCCGTGATCGTTCCGCAATAGGTCGCAGAAGCTTAGTTGCAGTGCAGATTCGTACAACGGATGTTCGTGTGTTTTGAGCATCATTGCACAACTTCCTTAGACGTCGGTGACAAATCGCACTGGGATTTGCTCTGTTCGGGATCGCATCCGCTGACCGCGCGTTTCAACCGTTGACCGACCACCTTACGGCGCACGGCGTCCGCAGGAGAGAACCGTCGAGCGGCTTTGACGAGACGAATAACAGCATAGGCGTGAAAATTTGTTTTCACTCAGTGTAACGACATGAAACAGTAACTGTTTGGTTGACAAACGAATCGGCGTTTATATTTAACGAAGTTCATACGTATGCTCGAATCGACGCTCGGTTAGTTTCCTAGCAAGCATTTTGGTGTCTGGGCTGCCACATTCAGGATGTGGTTCCGCTTTACAGGCTATCGGTGCCACTAACATACCTCGGACAGCAACGATAGACACTCCGATTACGAGGCACGAGCTTGTTTCCTCGTATAGCCGTGCGATATTGCAGAACCGGCCAGTAAACATCAGCGACGTGCAATCCTGCTATGTCGAAAAGGCACCAGTCGTGTTGGAGCATTTTCCACCGGTTTCGCGGTTTAGTTGCAACGTGAGCGTCTACGGTGAGAATCATGCCCTTCAGTTCGGCGCAGACATGGTCACGGTTTAATTGGCACTTTTCGGTTGACGCGTTTGTTGCCGTTTTAACTTTTCGGCACCTGTATTTACGGTTGAATCTTGCCTTACGTGTGAGGCATGTGTCGGCGTGAAGTTCGTCACAGCGGTTTCTAAATCCGCTGTTACTTTTCTGTCATCTATCTATCTGTTTCTATCTGTTTCATAGGATTTGGTCCAAAGAGTCGGTCGGCATGCAAATGTCCTAGGTATCGCGAAACATTTAATGATGTTTTTTCACATTTACAGAATATAATATTTTGTGATAAACGTGAATCCTTGTCTCAGCTGTGAATTCCCTTTACCATGGAATTATCCGCACGCTGCTTCGGCGCAGTCAGCCGAGAAACGGACAGTAAGTCCCTTGGGTTGCGAATTAAACGGACAACATAGTTACTGTTGTCATCGTTATCTGGGGTATCACGATCAAGAGCCGAATGCCGAGATTAATGATGCCCGACGATTTCGCTTCTCAGAATGATTTAGGCGATGTTGATTGCTGCGCAGAGGGTCATATGGCATATCAGGGTATTCTGTTATGGACATGCTAGAGTGTGCAAGGTGCAGTACTGCCAATGTTTTCCGATGCGAGCACCCCTTTTGGCTGCAGTTCGCCTTTATCTACCTGGGAGCTGACTGTGCAGCTTAATGGTCAGCGCTGTCCATGTTGTTTTGCAGTTCAACAACTAACTATTCGTTTTTTCGCTGGTTGTGCCTGAATCGCCTTGTTCCGTGTTCAAGGGTTACAACAAGAAAATTTTACGCTCATCGAACCATTTACCCATTGAAGTTTAGAAGAGCGTTTTATTCCACTGCCCCCTACCCTCTGTGCTTTAATATGTATGGAATATTGTAGTGGTGTTGTATCAGAAGACGGAGTAGGTCGACTTGGAATTGCGGACGTGCCGAATTCGATTGCCGTGGCCGGGCAGTTCTTGTCCTTACCGCGAATACATAGCGCACGTTGGGACGGATTCGCGTCACTGCGTTGCGTTGAGAGCGTTAAACACAGAACCATGAGGTCCTACGTTCGAGTCCCAATCGCGGGTAGTCGTTTTCCTTTCTTCCGAGATCGATAAATCAGTGGGAAATAAACATCAGATTACAGACTATGCTTGTCAGGTATGATACGTCGATTTTACGTTTAAAAACAGGGCACTCGTAATTGATGACATGGAAATGGAGATGAGCGCCCCGATCATTGGCTTCATTTGACGGTTCTAGAACTGACCCCATTATTTCAGTGTAAGAAAGACCAACAATATAGCGGTTACAAGCTTTCTTTTCTGTCCGTCCGTTTTCATGACACATTCAAGCACGCTGTCGCGGGACTGCGTCAAAGGGGTTGTTCCTGCCGAAACGTTTCGTTGCATTGGACGGATGTTGGCTTTGAGTTGTTAGATACGAATGGTGAAGAGAACTATGCCGAATTTAACGTCTGTTTCGTTCTTGGCACGCACACACACACACACAGCTTACGCAGACTCGGGCTGGACAGTGCTGTTAATCGGTTTCTAAGCTGCACCTGCGAATACGTCGATTATCATTGTTCACATTTCACTAGCACAGAGGCATGGTCATGGTCGTTGTATGTCAGAGTTGGCGAAGGCCGTTTAAAGCTGATCACAGTGACGATCGGTTCTACTGATATTCATACATCTGACAACATGCTGTCCATTAAACGCGTCATTTCGGTTTCGGTTTCGAATTCGCTGTTGCGACGAAACGATGCGCGTGCATTACCATTCATGTTGGTTTCGGTTCCTTCGTCTCGTTGACCGTTGATCGTTATGCGTTTGCCGTTTTGGGCGGTTTGCCGCGAATTCAACCTGTTAAACGTGTTCATTTCTAACCCTGCATGTTCACCGGTTATACTAGCACTTGTCTTGTCCATTGCGACGGTTTGTTGGTTGTTGACCAGCTGATCGACTGACCGATCGACCGTTATACATGTGATGCCGTGTCGCCGCCGGTGTGGCCACAGAATATGATGCTGCTGGTCCCTGCTGTGGTGCTGAGTCGACTGCATGATGACGATGCGCTTTGGTTGTCGCTTATTTTATTCTTATGATGTTTGCAGGTGACCAACGGTTTCAGCTGCCGTGCGACCGACCGACCGACCTACCAACTGACCGACCGACCGACCGACAGATAGACAACAGACCATTTGTTTTCAGCGTCGCTGGTCGCTCGTTTTTCACATCAACCGAGCGAATACGGTGTTCAGATAGAGGGAGGGTGTCGTTCCGAATGTGTCTGTCCTTGCTGTGCCTGCAGCGTTTTATTTCTGTGCACATGCAGTGCCTACCGAACAGCAGTTCCTATCGAAATGTTTTCTTTGCAGACGATTTCCGTTTTCCGACCGTAGTTGCTTCCGCCCACCCGTCCTCCCGTCGCCCCCCCCCCTCACCCTCAACTTTCGTTTATGTCCATTAGACTTAATCTTATCCGCGAAAGCCGTTATCTCAGTCCAACCGTTGTTTATGCTTGATTTGTTTTTGTTTCTTGTTTGTTTTTTTGTGTTACGTTGTCGTTTAGTTGTTCTCACGTAACCGGTGTGCGACGAACGTTGCTGTGCTGACTAATACCTGTGCCAATGCACTAATATGTTTCAGGTTTTGCAGAGTAACAAGCGCACGGCGTTCGAGAAGGGCGGCGTACCGGTATTTCAGCCCGTCGCCACACCGGCCACCGCCGCCGCCACGGTCGGTACCGCTCTGCATTATCCGCAGTTGGCCGCTATACCCGGTTTGCAAGCGTCGTACGTTCCTGTCACGTGTAAGTTGACCGATGTTTGCGTCACTGTTTCCAGCCGGCCAGCCACCGGACGGGTCCCGGTCCCGGTTACGGTTGCGGTCCCGGTCCCGGTCCCGGTTGCGGTTGCACTGGTTGCACTCACACGCACACGCACACGCACACTGACTGTGTGACTGACCGATTGTGATTGTCGGTCGCCTCATTATACCTGCTTTGTCGTCGTCTGCTCCTTTCCTCGAGCGGAACCGACCGACCAATGCGACGCCGATGCATACTTGCGTTGAGGTGTACTGCTAGCTTCTGCCTCCTCTACCTCGGGCGTCAGTCAGTCAGTCAGTCGTTGGCCTGTGCTTTTGCGCTGGTCGATGTGCTTCGTGATTCCTTCTTCTTTTCCTTACTTACTATTTGTATGTTGTGTTATGCTGATGCCTTGATGTGATCGGTTTTGATGATATGCCGTGATGTGCTTTTATAACGAGGTTGCGGGATCGCTGCATGATGTTTTACTGTTTGTGTTTAGTCCCCGTCGCTACGTTGCTTGCACGCGTTGGCGTTGACGCTGGCATGCCGTCGCCGCTAACCCATTCTGCACCCGCACCTGCACCCGCGCCTTCCAACGCCCTCTCCGTAGCCTATTATGGTGAACGCGGACAGGTACCGGTGCATCATGTTCGTTTCTATCGTGAATATTCGCTAGAAGCGCGACGACGACCACGACCGCCATTGGCCCGTGATTCATCGCACCTACCGTCTCCACCTTCCTTCCTGTTACTGTACTCACACTCTGGCTAGGTCACTGAGCTGCTGTCGAATCGAGTACTGTCAGTTGCTGTACCCTCAACGAACACCTGGCTTCTTTCGCAGTTTTGCGCTTCTGCCCTTCTCTTCCTCCTTTTCCTCTGGTGCACTCACATCTAGTTGTGTCGGTTCGTCCGTCCGCCGTTAAGCGTTCAGTCAATGTTGCGTATTCTTCTTAGCTTGCTGTTCCGTTCCTCGTAACGTGGCTACTTCACATGAGTGAAAGTAGTTCATTTTCGTCCATTTTTTTATCATTTCCTCCGTCAAACCATCCAGTTTCGTATCGTTTCTTTTGCACAATCGACGGCATCAGCATTACCTTCGTAGAACAATGATCCGGTGTTGCTGTGAACCCGCTGATCATCGGACACAGTCGCGACGAGGTCGTGGTTCGAGTTCCAGTTCGTCCAGTCACTCGTCTTTGCTCCTTCCGTGGCAGATACACGGTTGCGTTTTCCTAAGAACGAAACGCAAGATACACGGGTCATGGTGATCACTTGTTTGTTGTAGATTTGACCTTGAAGAGGCTGCGAAAATTCGTGCCCCTAAATTCGTCAGCATACATAACCACATATCCAGCGTGGCCATTCAAGTCGTTTATCTCCGCTCAACCGCAACTCGATGCTCGTCGAATCTTCTCTCACCTTAAGCGATTTTGTTGATGAGTTACTGTTCGGCAGTCCATTCGAGGTAGACTGATCGGTCCTCGCCAACTATTTCCGACGTCTGCCAAATTTTCATTCGGTAAAAAAGCTGCGCCTTTTACCGGATTTGTTTGCTCAAGCATGTCGCTGTTGCGGTTAGCGATCAACCGCTGCCTCAACCTACTGCAGCGGCTGCCGCACAACTTCCGACCCCCTTAGGTGGCTTGGACCGGATATGACCACAAAGCCGCAACAAGTTGCCATGCTTGAAGCGGTACAGGACAAGGAGCAACTGTATAAGCGAATACGCAGCGAAACGTTTAACGACCTGATAGACCGAATTACGGACGAGTTACGAGTTACCGGAAAGTCGAAAGACCGAAGACGCAT